CGCGCTACCCAATGCGTACAAGTTAGTGAGTTGGGGTCGGGGTGGGTTTTTGCATGTCGGTTTTTGTCAGCTGCAGTGCTCATTCTTATCAATTAAAAGCAGCTGCTGGAAACGCAAGTACGGTACCTACGGTAGCTCATGCTTCTGCATTATTTGCAGAACTGCATTTTGCACCTGTTCCTAGCCTCGTTTCTTATGCAGATCAGCTGGCAGATGTTCAATCCCCCTATCCTCAACAAAGCCAGGCTGTGCCTGGGTGCGGTGTCAAGATCTCATCTTCAGGGCACTGGCGCAAGCGTTGAAGCCAACACCCACAGCTCGGAAATTGCTAGTAGGGTCAGAAGGGCCGCTTTTTACACACTTTGGTTCCCTTCAAGTCATATGCCCATTGGAACCAAATTTGCCAGCTTCACCTATAGTAAATTCTGATCAGATGGGCTTTCCAGTAAAGCACGCTCCTGGTTATTCGCAGCAAGCAGACTGGACCTGATGTCCCTGCGAATAGCTCAGCAACAGCTCACCGATCTAAGGCTCGTAGCGGAATACTTCCGCTCGACAGTGACCACTTTCTCCCACATCAACACTTTTGTTGATTGAGCATCTGTGCAAGTTCAGCAAATCAGCCCGCTTACGACCCGCCGAAGACGCCCCGAAAATTTCAATGGCTACCGGCACCCCCTCCCCTGCGCTACAGAAAACCGCCATGCGATCCCGGGACATCGAGGCTGATGACGAAAGCGCGCCCACTCCTGCGGCGCCACCTGGCGCTTTCCCAAGCCCCAGCACCTCGGCTGCACTCAATGCAGAAGCAGCGGAACTGCGTGACGGATCTGACGTGCCGTGGCACGTCTATTCCGCAGAGCTCAAGGCACTCTTTTCGCTGTGCGGGCCGCTCGCGCTGTCGGGGTTTCTGATGTACGCACGCCTGCTCATATCGCTGATGTTCCTGGGGCGGCTGGGCGCGGTGCCGCTAGCAGGTGAGCGATTGCTTGTTGGTGCACCTAGATAGCTTATTCGTCCTGTATCAGGAGCTCAAATGCAGCTCCATGTCCCGGCGGGGTCCAATGCTTCTGTGGATTCAGAGCTGAAGATTTGATGCGCGTGCATTTGCAAGCGAAGCGGTGGGCAGTGATGTTGCTAGCACGACGCCACCTGATCCCAACGCCAGCCTCAGCTAGCTGATTAACTTAGCATCCAGTACAACCAACATTGTGCAGCTTGGGTGTGAGCCATGTTGGGCTGATACACAATCGCTGCATTCGCATACAGCTGCACATTCAATGGGTTGATGCTAAAATGTAGCCACTGCAGAAGGATTAGATCGTTTATGTACCAATTTTAGAAGTGCCCACTCAGAAAAGTTTTGGAGGGAAGCTTTGTGGCTGAGGTTCAGCTGTGCTTCTGTGCCCTTTTGACATGCCAGGCACAGTCTGCTAGCTGCTATAGTGGCAATGCCCGCTGTCTCAACTATGAAGCAACTTTTCTGCGCATGAGTCTGCGTCTTGTCAGTGCAGGTAAGACACGAGCCGCTGACAGGTTGGAGAAGCTTCTAAAAGGTCACCGCCCGATCTGATAACCACAATGCTGTGACAGTCCCACTTAAAGCGGCAACAAGTTTTCAGCTTTTTGAATCTTCAGATCCCTTGCGGCTTAAGCTTCTCCTTTTACTCATTTTCATATGAAAAGGTCAGGGATTCTTGCGCGTTTGGGTTTTCAAGACCCAAGAATTGCAGCTCCACGAAACTCCGCCCTTTACCCAGAATAAGGCTGTATATTTATCCGGAACTTTGGCTCCATTGAGGCTGAAAGAAAATCAAAAGCTTCCACTGGAGTACCCCTGCTCTCGCTCCGTCATTCCCTTGCTAAACTGGCCTCCGAAAGAAATCCATGTCAGAACCCAAACCCAATCCCAGATTCTACGTCCAGGTGGCGCCCTCGCACTCACCGTCGTGAATGTGACGTCCTTCTCACCTCTTTTCGGTCTCACTTTGGCGCTCGAGCCCCTCTACGGACGGGCTTATGGGGCCAAAGACTTTCGTGCTATGGTAGGTCGCCACCTTTTCCCATTCCTTCTTCTCAAAGTTTCAACCGTGTCGCTCTGAGTTTCAAGACAGGATGGACTTACACCCCTTTCGGTTTAAACATTCTGGATTATGTCACGCCCAAACGTGCTAGCTGCCCTTTGCTGGAACACATTGTTCGGAGAAATGTGACCCTGCGAAAGACATCCGCATCTCCGAGCAACGCTAATTCGGGAGAGTTGAACAGCCTGATTGTATTTGCTGGTACGTGATTCAAGCTGATCCAGTGTCTCAGCCGATGGTCATGTGGGCATCCTGGAAAAGCCCAGGCTACCAACCGACTGCCAGGCTGCTTTTACTTGGAAACACACAAAAGCGAACCGGCGAGTTGAGAAAGGAGACATTGGAGCAGAGGATCAGAGCCTTCGGCCATCTGCAGCGACGCATGGTGATTCGTGTTCTCACTTCACTTGCTGGGATGTTTTAAAACGTCCCCAAGACGCCAAGCGTTTCCTAGCCCGGTTTTTGACTTCCACAAGGGCGCCTAGTGGCTGCAGCGAGGCGCGGTCACTTTTCACCTCTTCACCTGCTTGCAAAAGTCACAGGTTGTTTGAGCGCCCCAATGCGCTAGGTGTGTAATTAATGAACTCTGTTTTATAAACCCGCTTTCTCCAAGGGCGCCTGGCAGCTGTAGTGAGGCGTGGTCTCTAACGAACCTTTTGACTCCCCGCTTTTGCAGCGTACCCTCGCTAAAAGCCCCGGCCACGTGACTAATCCGGTTCCTTAACCCCGCTTTCGTACAGGGCGCCTGGCTGCAGCGAGGCGTGGTCACCCTCCGTCTCTTCCGGACCCTCTTACAAAACGTCCTTGTTTGTGCAGCGTATTCTCGATGAACGGCCTGTCCGAGTTACTAACCCGGTTCCTTAACCCCGCTTTCTTACAGGGCGCCTGGCTGCAGCGAGGCGTGGTTATTCTGTGGCTCTTCAGCGTCCCCATCTCGGCTCTCTGGTGGAACGCCGAGAAAATCCTCCTCTTGCTGCGCCAGTCCCCTGAAATCGCGGCGGCCGCGGGGCTTTACCTCCGATTCCTGTTGCCAGATGTCGTGCTCACGGCCACTGTCATGCCGGTCCGCATGTTCCTCCGGACGCAGGTACGTCAATACGCAGATTTAGGGATTGAGGGATGTTAGGTGTATGCGAGCATGTAAACAATTACGTTCACACGCATGCATACAGGTGCTCAGGTCTGCAATCATGTAGGTAGGTACGTGGTTTCTATAGGCTTTAAGCATCTGTGGTTACACGTACTCCAGTCCAAGAGGATCTGGATCCGCGCAGGTTCCCAGGATATACAGCGCCGTTTAGTGTTCCCAGCGGTCTCGTCATTCCGTCTGATGTGTAGGCGCAGGGCTGGACTCCTACAAGGTTTTTTCTCTCTGCAGGGCTATGCAAGCTACATCCTTTACGCAAACGTGTTCGCCTTCGCTCTCCAAGTCCCGCTCACCGTCCTCTTCATGGACTACGCGGGTTTGGGAATGGGGGGCGCCGCGATCGCCTCATTCTGCTACAACCTTGTGCTGCTCATTCTGTTGATTTCGGTCGGCCTCTGGCGGGGGCTCTTCGCACGCTGCTGGCCCGGCCTTTCGCCCCGCGTTTGGGCCAGCGACTGGAGCGTATTTTTGGGGTGAGGAA